AATGGGACATGTCCTTTCTTTAAATTAATAATTGACGCCAAAAATAATAAAGGCGACCGTGTTGTGCAGAATAGGCCAAACAAGTGTGACAAGTTTGTTATTTATTTTAATCATTTCAGTTTTCATTTTTATTAAAAAGCAAATCAGATTTTGATTTTATTAAAAACGAAAATCTTCAAAACCATTTTAGAAAAGCCTTGCGCAACATAAGTGACATTCTACGTTATTCGAAGACTGCGCCTTAATTTTTTGCACATTCGGTAACATAAATTTATTAAGTCATAACTACAACAAAAAATAATCTCACGCGTGATGATCCATGGCCTTCGACTATTGTTCTGAAAACAATTGTAGTTCTGTGCAATCCCATGCCAGTTTTTGGTTGCAAGAAATTTACACGTATACATTCGACGTTGTCATCATTGTTGAAATACCTTTCACTGAAAAAGTGCACCATTGTTTCGAAGAATTCATGTTTCGAAGGATGAAAATCCGTACAGTACCTTGGGTGAATTATGAACTTGTAGTTTCGTATCCCATGTAATCAGATGGCATAAAAATTTAACCCTTAAATGGCCTAAGTTTCAAATTTGATATCGAACATTTAAATCGAATTATACACTTGCAATTGATTTGTTTTTAATATTTGACTGTGTGTATGTTACCATTACACAATGTTCTTTCAAACAAAAGTTAAAAAAATAAACGTCAGCTGTCAAAATTGTTCAAATAATAAATACGTTGATATTTTTTTAACTTCAATTTGGAAAATCAGACTTCTAAGGGTTAATTTTGTACACGTGCTTCAAGATTATATTTCAATAGAAAGTAATGTATATATTAAAATAATAAATGTCATACAATTACGATCGAGCTCTGTTTAAATAATTTGTTGGAGTAAGGAACATCTGTCTAAAAAGTTTACAAATAATTTGATAGTATTCGTGATTCGACGAATCATCAGATGAGCGACACAGATAATAACATTAAGAACGTCACTTTTATTATGAAATATGTCAAAAAAATCATATTTATACTTTATACAAAACTTTAATTTCTAATTCGTGATCCGTTGGTTTCTGATTCGCCTTTTTCCATATACAATTTTTTCTGGCTCCAAGGGATCTGACAACTTGTCACTCTATTTATTCCACGTGCTTTGGGACGAAGTGTAAATGTATAATTCCGAGGCAAGGAAACCTTTTGAGTTAAACATTGTTGTCTGCTCTTTGTATATATACAAGGTGATTCCAGCAACTGGGACAAGCAAAAATTCATTTCCAAGCGTACGATAAAACTGATACCGAAAAAAGTTCGATCCCGCAACAGAGACTCCTCTTTGAAATGAAAAATGTTTTTGTTTCGATCCGCTTGCATTTGTTATTTAAATGAAATTATGCATCATTCCACATAAATTGACTTTTCCCATTGTTCTACGTATAAAACTATTATATTATGGTTATTCATATCTGATTATTCAAATTTCACTTTTTATCTATTTTCGAGCCAACATTAATTTTACAATGACTTTCATTTTGAATTGAATCGAGTTGATTATAATAATCGATAATCCATGTAATTCGAAAATATTACAATAGGTTTCCAAGTACGTAAATATGCCATAAATTGTTTCGTTTTTTCACACATCAATGTTTGTATATTTACAATGATGAGAGGAATCGATTTGTGTTAACAAATGGACGGTATTATTTATATAAACAAACGAAAATGTATATTGCATTTACACAGTGGTACCATGAATCGTACTCGACAAAACTTGCAATTGTACAGAATGAAATAATAATTTTTTAGCATTCAACATTTATTAATACATTTAAACCATTCCATCATACAAATCTAACGATACACTTGCATCGATTTTCATTGTGGACAGTTTCATTGAAAATTGCATTAAGACTAGATTGAAGAAAATTACGTTACAATTTCTTTGCAGCAAGTTTTATTAAAATTTCATTAAAATCGCTTCAGAATTTCATTGTAAAAAATCTCAGTAGAACTTCATTGTGAGCTGCATTTGAATTTCTATCCAGGAAATTCTATTGCAGACATATTTATGAGAAATTTTGTTGTAGACAACTTCATTAAAATCACATCAAAACTGTATTAGAAGAGCGCGTAATCAAATGGTAATCTTCTAACATTCAGCATTTATTAATACATTTATTTAAATATTTATAATCGTATTATTGTATTAAAATTATATTAGAATTGTATATAATGAAATGATAATTTTCTAACACACAATTTTAACAATTGTATAGTTTATTAACGCTTTCGAACTACATCGTAAAAAATAGTATTGGTTACATAATACGACCTTTTTCGAATTCCGATCTTTAAAATAATATCTGTGCCACTGAATAGATCGTAACTTTTAACAAGACACTCTGTAGTCGCACAGTTGGGACTCGCGCAGTCGTTAATTACACAACATGAATTGACGGCTGGCATGATTACCTTGTATAATGACGTTGATCAACAAGCGTCACGTTCGTTGTCACGTCACCGGTCGTTGTTCAGCGAATATTTGTGAAAAATTGCACGATCGAACGATCAGTTCGCTACTCTTTTTTACCAGGGGAACAATTACGCTGTAGTATGTGTGCCAGAGACGTGATTTCTTTACAAAAGTCTATTGTCTGTGTTTGTAACAAACACCGCGAGGGATCTTCCGTGTATCGGTTTGTTCAACGAATTCTATGCACTTCCTATTCCGCCAGGACGTTTATAACTCTCTACATCCATGCTCGGTGACGTTTACAACTGTAAAAGAAAGTAGCATCTAAGTAACATTTGCTTCGACGACACTTCAGTGAAAGCTTGAGACTAGTTACCACGGTTTACGATCGCATCGTGTTGAACCTGAACAAACGACGTTCCAGCATCTTTAAATTCTTAAAAATTTTACGTCTGATTCACGACGTCGTTATACTTCACACTTTCATGAACGACCCGAAGAATTACGCCACCGTTGCGGCACAAAAACACAGAATTTCTTCGCGAATTTTTTGGAACAATAACTTAAATACACCCGATGAATCTCACTTCAAAAAACCAAGAATATCAAATACCAAAAATTTCAGTAGAATCGCATTAAAATTTCATAATATTTCAATTAGTGTCGAATTTTCCTAAAGTTGCATTACAAATGCATTATAATTTCATTC